AGACTCCAAATTCAGTTGACTATTAGGTCTGAATTCCCTTTGCTTTTCTCTTGTATTAGTAGAGAAAAAGTCTGTGCCATGGAAGGGAGGGACTTCATCAAAAGAATACTCCCTCGCACTATTGTGTAGATCTCATTCAATCCCATTAAAAATTGGATAAATCGCCGATCCTACTCTGCCTTATGCATAGTTTTTTTGCTCCACATGTCCAGTTGCAGCTATATTGAGGTTTGGCACTCAAAGTGTTTGCTCCTACCATAATCTCTTCATTTGTGTATAGTACGTGGTAATGTCTAAGGATCCCTGAACAAGATCATTAACCTCTTTCTGAATCTGATATAATTTTGCCCCATTTGTTTGGTCATAACGATCCTCTAATTCCCTCCACAACTCGACTGAGTCATTCACATAATCTACACCATTAGAAATTTTCTTACGAGGGAATTGAGAATCCACTAGGTTACCATATCATCACACCTCTCCCACTGATGAAATTGAGGCGAATTAGGGCTAGATTTTCTACATTCCCCATTAATAAACCCTAATTTGTTTTTGACCGACAGGGCTCGCAACACGCTTCTTCTCCAGGAACGATATCCAATTCCGTCGAATAGAACTAGTACTAAAGTCACTCCAGGACTATCCGAAGGATGAATGTAGAGAGGGCTACCTGTATCGATGACAAATTGGTCATTTCTGCTTGTTCTAGACGTGGTTTCTTTAGTCTGATCGATGGCTATGTGCGAAGCTCCGATTTGGTGAAATTGAGGGGTATATCAGTCTACTCAGCGAACAGATAAATCAATTAGGTCAAAAATTTCTCAATTTGTAAAACAATTGCAGCTCTGAGTGGTAATCACCGCAACCCTAGCGAGTAATGAAAAACAGACGAATTTGAGAACGAAGAATGAAGATGCTGACATGATCCGAGCTAATATCCATGCTCTGATACCATATTATGATTGTAAGGAAGCNATATATATATATATATAACTAAAACTAACTAACTATATCTACTAACTATACATTGTATAATGAATAAAATGAATAGAGAATAGAATAATAATAAGTATACTCAATAAAGACTTCCTAAGAATGTTACTATAAATTAATGTTTTCTCCAAAAACTCAAATTTTATACATACAAATATTACATTATATTGTCCCAACATTGATTTTACATTTTGTAATGTGAACGGTTCTTCCTCTTTTACGCGATTTGGACTTCATAATTGTTCATAAAAAGATTCATCCAATTATACCTTGACGGGTAGAAAACTAAAATGATAATAAGGGGTTAGAAAATTTGTCATGGAATAGTTTCCTACTCTTGATTTTTATTTTCTATCCTCTTTAATTAAATTACTAAATAAGAGATATTACTTGTAAGTGTCTTATTTTAATCCCAACCAAACATATGTTCACTTTAAAGAATGTAAAAATTTCACGGCCCGTATTTGGCTACTCCGTTTAACTTGTGATCACTTTTAAAAAATGTTTAACTAGTATTCAAAGTACAAATAACTTCAGGTCTTCTCCTCCTCCCCCTCCTACTCCTTCTCCCTCTTCTCCTTCTTCTCCTCCTCTTCTCCTTCTTCTTCTCCTTCTTCGCAAGTTTTAGGGTGGATTATGATGTTTTACAGTAGTGAGCTGATGTGGAGCTCCTTTCTTTGCTATTATTTAGAGTTTCTTCTTCTTCTTCTTCTTCTTCTTCTTCTTCTTCTTCTTCTTCTTCTTCTTCTTCTTCTTCTTCTTCTTCTTCTTCTTCTTCTCAATTGTAAAATGAATTTATTGGATTTGTTGTTGATTTGATAAATTGATGATTGAAATTTGTTCTTTATGATATTTGGAGGTTATGCTTCAATTTTGAGCTTATATGGAATAGATTTAGGTGTTCTATCGTGTGTTGGATTATTGAAATTTGAAAAATAAGTTTTTGTATCAGGGCAATTTGCACGTCAAACCTATTTGGTCTTAATAAAAACATTGGTTGCATTTCAGACCTATTTGGCTTTAAGTGCATCTTAAGTGCAAAATTTTCACTTCAAACCTATTTGGCCTCAAGTGCATGAAAATATTTATTGCACTTCAGACCTATTTGGTCTTAAGTACATCTTAAGTGTAAGTTTTGCACTTTAAACTTAATTGGCCTTAAGTGCATTATACTTCAGACTTTCTTCCTCAACTTCACGCGATAAGTCTGAAGTTAATTTTAAAATACTAGATTTATAAATTTTTGTACATAATGGGTATAATTTCAATGATAACCCCAAAACTAAGTATAGGTACAAATGCCCTAAAGAATAGAAGTGAAAAAGGAAAGCAAATGAATTCTCCAATCTCCGATGTGCACATTTTCGCCCAGAGACAATCGGCCCAAGCACTGAGGTACCATATACTCAGGTGGCCAATAAAGAACAAGCCATGTTTCGCCCAACAGAATGAGCTACCTTCTTTATGGATATGGGTGGCAAACGGGCAATTCGGATCGGGTATGAGCGTTTCGAAAACGGTTAATGAAAAAATGAATAAATTATTCAACCCGATTAATATTAATATGAATTAAAAAATGAGTTAACCGGCGGATAATATGAATATATCCGTACATTTATGAATATGATCACTTTTGGTAGAATTTATAGTCTCCTAAACTTGAGGAACCCCCGATTTGAGTCTTTACAAATATAAAAGTTAACCCGTTAATTATCCATTTTCTAAGTGGATAATATGTTATTATCTATATTTGACCCGTTTTTAAAAATTCATTATTCAACTCATTTTTAGTGGATAACATGGATAGATAATTATTATTTTTAAATTTATTTTGCTACCACTATTTACGAATAAGAATATTCGAATTTATAGTTAGTCTACTTCTCTCTTTTTGTCCCAAAAAATTACAAAAATATGATAGTTTTTGGGATGATCTTTTAACTTTTAACTTATGCGTATCCCATGGGTAGAATTTTACGGTCAAAAGTTCAAAGTGTTATTCATGAACAAGCAAGAGAGTAATACTTGTTAAATTTGATGTTCTTCCCATAGGACAAACCAAAATAAAAATTAGAAACCGTCCACTTTGAGAGCTATATGTATTCACCCCTTTTTGTCTGTTAGTACAAAATTTGGATTGCCTTCTTAAGGTGAAATTATTTCTTCGCCAGTCTAATATATTGAGTAGAAACATAAATTGTATTTTATAAGTAGTAAATAACAGGCTATCTTTTCAAGTAACAAGAATTGTTTATAAACTTGTGACATTTATAGTAAATGGCCAAACTCGTTTCATCTTGTTCTTGTCGAATGAGACTTAACTAGTCAATTTATTTTTTGTTGAGATTAGACGTGATTTTTGTATCTAAGTACGATAATATCGATATTCAAGGTCATTCTTCTAATAAAATGATATTAGATAAAGATAGATTTGTAGTGCCTGAATGTAGAATTGTAGATGACACATATTATTATTCTATTTGAGATCCTTACGAGTTACGATTTTGTAGTTGAAAATAAATATAATATCGATACATTCGTAACAAACCATATTAATTTTTCATTGATTTCTACTCTTTTTTAGGCCATTGTATTATAAATGGTGATTAGATTGTCACTTCAATAACTTGAAATGTTCTTGAGATCTGGGAATAAAATTAATCTTTTACCATATTATTTATGTTCTCGTTCAGTTATTAAAATATCATAACATAGGGGTGAAAGCTAGATCGTGGTTAGTTGAATGGTTCAACATCCATTAGAGGCATAGCATTTTCTTCCGTCCTCGTGTAATAAAAAAATGTCATATTCTTCAACTACATTTTACATCCAGACGATATTTTATTCCCATATCACTTTCTTATGTATTTTAAATATTTTGAATTTTAGAAAAATGATTGAATATATCACAAATCGATTCAGATATTGTGGTTATAAAAAAGGCTGGGTTGACTATTCTTTTTCTTAATATAGTCCTAAAAAAATTGAAGCACTACCTAATTGACAAACAAAATCAAAATCAACATCACATGAATTTTGTACATTTTAACAGGGACCACAACATCAACTTGTCCCCAACAACCTATCTCCTCTATTTTCTTTTCATTTAACATGTCCATAAACAATGAATTATGAATTATCAAGTTTGTCATGCAAATAAACTAAAGACAGTTCAGATTGGACCTAATCCAGTAACCCTTTGGCGGTGCAGGATATTTGTTGTATATTTATATTATACTTTCTAGCAACAGTATATTTATTTTCGTGTGATCGATGATAGATTACGAGTTTGAACCGTAAAATCAGTTATTAATACTTGTATTATGGTAGATGTCTATAGTATATCCTTTAGAGTGTGATTTTTTATAAGATTATATGTAAATACGAGATACTTTATGTACCGGTAATATCTCATTATCATCTTCAAAAGATATTCTTTATTTTTTATTGGTTTCTTTCATATTTTACGTTGGCACCAACACCTCACAAAGGTGCTCTTTCGTATATTAGTCCAAGTGAATTATTATTGACAAGATTTATATAGTTCAATTAACAAATAATTATTTGGATGCGAAATCGTTTCAATACAATAAAATAAAGATATTTTGTCCATTAATTACATTAAAACATATTATAATAAATTAATTTCTTATAAAATATTGATTCAATAAAAACTAAATCTTCATACTTTGAGAAGTTGCTCTTTTCGAGAACTCTATGATTTATGTCGCTAAAAGTAATTTCTTTAAATCGATATTAGCATAAAAGTTGTAAATAAAGGTTAACTATTTTTCAGGAAAATATTTAACATCATTTTTGACATTTCACTTTGTACAATTAAAAGTCATTTTCCTTCTCTAGATTTTGCAACTTGCAAAAGTATCCTTTCTTTTTCTGTCGTTTGTTATTATTATTATTTTTTGGTTTACTTGTCATTTTCCCTTTTGTTATTTTTTGTCCCTTTTTAGCTTAATAACATGTAAAAAAGATAAATAATCATTAGAGCACACAAAAGAGAGAGACACAATTTATATATAGCGAAAATGTTGATTTTCTTACCTTTTAGATTTAGAATTCCTTCCAAAAATTTCTCATTTTCCCCCGCACATACATACATACAAGGAAAACCAAAAAAATTAAAATTCCTATGGAAGCTGATGTTTCTATTCTCTCAGCAATCTTGAGAGTGTATCTTCTTTTTTTTTTTTGGTGATTTTTCTTGAAAATTGACAAGAGGGGTTGTTGTGAATTTTAGTCTTATTTTTTTGTGAATTTCCTTGAAATTATTTAAAGGGGTTGTAGGGTTTTGAGATTTGGGAAGTGGAATGGTGAGTTCTTGGGTTTTTTTGTTCTTCAGTTATGTGTCTTTAGTGGCTTCTGGAGCTCTTGGAAGTGTAATTTTGATTGGTAAAAACCTTACTTTGTCTTTTGAAGACATTGAAGCTAATTTTGGTGAGTTGACTTTGCTCCCCCCCACCCTTCCCCCCCCCCCCCCCCAAGACTTCTTTTTTATTCTGCGCTTAAAAATTAATTGAGAAGTGCTTTTTGTTGAATATTAGGAACTTGGTTTTGTTTAATTTATGTTTTCATGAGCTTCTTGAACTAATCATGCTTTGCTTTTTTACTCTCCATGTTTGCGTTTTGGGGGTTTGGGGTGGGGGTGGGGTAGGTTTACTAGATCATGTTTTTTGGGTTTACTAGATCATGTTTTTTGTTAGGAGTGACTGAGGGTCTGCCGGAGACAGACTCTCTAACTTTACCAGGTAGGGTATATTACCTCCTAGACACCACTTGTGGGATTGAACTGGGTTTTTTGTTGTTGTTGTTATTGTTGTTGTTTGTTAAGAGCTTCTTACGAGTTACGGGGAATAAAAGATCTCATCTTGGAAATTTGATCTGTCATATTTTGCAAGTTCTTTTTTTAGTTAGAATCTCCAAGAGATCTGTACTTGCATCAAGAGAGTATGTATGGATGTTGTATTAATAACTTGCATTTAGATCTCAATATATTTTGTTGTTGATCATGGTTTTGGTTTCTTTGTATTTGACTTTTGAGGTTTTTAATGTTGGCTGTATTTCTGTTTTAACTGAAAAAGCTATGTGTTGTGATATAGCAAAGGTTTTCTTTACTTTTCTGTTGGCATGATATTTACCGGGCTTCTTTTCTGCTAATGTACAAATTCGACCTGTTTTTAATTTCAGCTCCCTCACCAAAGGGTTCAGGCAAATGTGGAACATTGTATGTGGCAGAGCCTTTGGATGCATGCTCGACTTTGACTAACAAGATTGAACCAACTAATAACTTCACAAAAGATCCATTTGTGCTGATAATTAGGGGTGGATGTAGCTTTGAGGATAAAGTCAGAAAAGCACAAGCTGCGGGTTTTAAAGCAGCCATTATCTATGACAATGCATATGGTACTATTATTCCAAGTAATGTTCTCTTCCACTATACATTTTACTTTTTAACCGTTTCTTCATTAACCTTTCTAAGTTTATTAATTTCGATCCATTGGGTAAGAAGTAAAATGATTTCTTGGAAAGGGAAATAGGTTTACAGTTTAAATTGACATTGAGCTCGCTACTCCTTGCAGAAGCCAGCTATGTGGCGTTATACAATTTTTGATGTAAATTTCCTGCTTTGCCTTTAATCACTTAATGCTCTGTATATGCCATATAAAATGTTGACGAAACTTCGAAACTGTCAATTGATCAACCAAATTACGCTTCATTCCCTAACTAGTTATTCATAAAAACTTGTAGGATGAAAAATAAAAGTGCTATTTGGAGATTCAATATGATTAAGAGGGATTGATCCATCTGAAGGAAGTTACAGAAGATATTTTGCCATCTCCAATTTGTAACAGAAAATTATTATCCAGCTCTTAAGATCTCTTTTAGTCTTTTATTATGTGATGCATTTGATTTCCAAGTTTTATAATTATTATATTTTTCCCATTGGCGTTGGGGTAAGCTGGACTAAATACATGTTTACAACTTTTAGATGATTATTAGGAAAACCAGTTGCAGCAAAACTTGTATTTGACCAAGTAATTGAATGACTTAGAGCCCGTTTGGATTGGCTTAAAAAGTGGCTTTTCAGCAGAAATAGCTTTTAAGCCAAAAAGCAATAAGTTGGGGCTGCCCACCTTATTTCTTTTGGCTTGTTTTAAGCAGTTTTTAACTTATTTTAAGCACTTTTTAGCTTTGCCAATTACTGAAAAAAGCTAAAAGAGCTTAAAAGCTGATTTGACCAGCTTAAAAGCCAATCCAAACACGCTCTTAGAAATTAAAAAGCTCGAAATCCTTGCCAAGCTTTCTCATGATCGTTATGATGTGTTCATCTTCTGTGATTTGTCTTGAGCCAGCATGTCCCAAAGTGGTTCATCTGAAATGTTCATATCATAGAACTGACAAACTAGACGATTATTATCCCACCCCCAGCCAAAAGGAAAATAAAATAGTGAACTCAGAAATCTTTTGCCAAAGACTTCAAAAACCAACTTCATCTCTTGCTTTTGAATGCTTTAAGCTTCTATAACTGTTGATTTTTAACAACCAAAGGTTTAACCAGACACACAATACAGTGGCAGGAACCTCTACTGGTGTGAAGATACTCGCACTGTTCGTTTCAAAAGCTTCTGGAGAAACACTCACAAAATATGCTGGTGACACTGATATGGAAGTATGGATAATCCCAAGCTTGGAAAACTCAGCTTGGTCAATCATGGCTACGTCTTTCATTTCATTACTTGCTATGTCGGCCGTGCTCGGGATGTGTTTCTTTGTTCGCAGACATCATATACGAAGAGAGAGGCCCCGAGCTTCTCGTGTCCGTGAATTTCATGGGATTAGTAGTCGTTTGGTGAAAGCTATGCCAAGTTTGATATTTACATCAGTTGTGGAGGATAATTCTACATCAGTAACATGTGCTATATGCCTCGAAGATTATCGTGTGGGAAATAAGCTTAGAGTTCTTCCGTGCCGGCACAGTAAGTTATCCTCTCTTATAGACGTTATTTACTTTCCAAGTTGTTCATATTTAGCTCTATTTGTTACTAAGGTCGTTGAAAGTAGGAACACAAAGCATTTTATTAAGTTTTGTTCCTCCATTGGGAGGATACTCATCTTTTTTGACTTTTGGTGCCATGACAAACTAATCACAGATCATGGTTGATAAGCACTAATGTATCCTCTTAAACATGAATCTATGGTAGTGTCATCACTAAAGAAACTTAACTCCTCTCCCAACAACAACAACAAACCCGGTATAATCCCACATAGTGACTCCTCTCCCACCAAAATCTTGTTGTATTATGACTTTACTGGTGTAACGACCCGACTGGTCGTTTTGAGCAATTGTGCCCGGTTCGGCAATTTGAGGTCATGAGTAGCTTAACCTAGTGTATTATGACTTGCGTGCATCATCGGCTCGGGGTTTTGAGTGGTTCGGAAATGATTTTGAGTGACTCTCATTTGAGAAGCTCGAAGTTGAAAGAATTGACCTTTGAGTATTTGACCTCGGATCGGAGTTTTGATGGTTCCGATAGGTCTGGATGAAGTTTTCGGAGTTCTGGTAGGTGCCATCACGACTTGTGGATTTTGGGTCGTGACAACTGAAAATGCACATCACGTCGTGCCACCCAGCTCACGAGTCCTCACCGCTTAGAGTGGTACTCTGTAAAATTTCCTTCAACCTTTGAAATCCATCCATCTCCCATTCATGTAAATTCCAGACAGCGAAATCCCTCCTCTTTTACCACCCGAATATGTCATACCATCTTCTTTTTCTGGCACGAAACTCTGAATAAATTGGGGAAGGAGAAGGTCGTTCTCATATACTTTCTCCGCAGTCTGCACCACTGATGATCCCAAAAACTGACTCTACTTCTATTCCCTACTCTATAGGAAACTGTTGAAATCTTCCTCACCCTTCATAATACTCCTCTACGTTTCTAGACCTCCATTCCCCTTCCATGACTCCATGTTTTCCTGCTATCACCTCCCTCCATAATGCCTGTTCTGCAATCCTGAATCTCCATAACCACTTCCCAAGTAGTGCCTTGATCAAAAGGATTTTCATTCCAAGCCCTCCCATATTTTCGGGATGTGACGAGGATCCCAACCAACTGGCTGAAATTTTTGGGTTCCAAGCCTGTCATCATGATGTAGAGAAGAGTACCATTTATCATTCATCACTCTGTGCATACTTTCTATCATCTTAACTTTTACCCTTTCCAAAGTACCCGAACAGTTATAAATACAGTTTACACTTAATTTTTGAAATTATTTCGTTTTCTGAAGTCTCCTTGGTGGCTAACTATGGAAAAACCAAAGTTATGGTTCCAAGCATCATATAATTGGAATATTTCCTTGTCCGGAGCTGATCTATCTTTTATACTGCAGTATTTGTCAATACACTTTCATTGAAATATGTTCACATTCAGAATTTATTTCTTCTGTAGCACTTGGCATTTTTCAGTTATAAACACGTCCTATGTAAACTTTTCAGAATTTCATACTGATTGTGTTGATACTTGGCTGACATCATGGAGAACCTTTTGCCCTGTTTGCAAACGGGATGCAAGGACTAGCACTGGCGAACCACCAGCATCAGAATATACACCATTGCTTTCTTCCAGTCTGCGATCTGGATCTTCAATGTCATCTCTAAGGTCATCATTAGCATCATCAGCAGTAATACATATAGGCACAGGAGCATCTCGATCGCCTTCCGTTTCTCGTTCTCAATCAATCTCTAGCTCTCATAACCAGCACTCTCTTTGGTCCTACCACCCGTCACCTCATTTTGCTATAAGCCGAAGTTCACTCGACTTTCAAAATGCATCTTCGCAAAGATCTGGTGCATCTTACTTAATTTCATCTAACTCATTGGGTTATCCTTCTCTATCACCTCTTAATTCAAGATATATTGGATCAACAAGTCAGCATCATAACCCACTGTACCACAGTGAGTCAATTACAAGCTTTTCACCATTTGTATCAGCTAACTCTCTTCCCGGATGTGAGTCATGATTTAGTTGATCGTTGGTAACATTAGTCGAATTTGTGAAGCCTCTTACCAGGAACACAGTGGTCGGATTATACTGACCACAAATTACAGCTGAAGACAATGGAACTGATTCGTATTGGTTGCTGTGGCATCTGGACACAGGAAATACAACAGGTAACTCTCGATTTCTGCATTATTGCTCAACACTTCTGTAATATTGATTTAGTAGTTGGATAGGTTTGGTATTTATATCTGGAGGTTTTTGCTGAGTGTACATGCCTAAAGATGGGTGCTTTTTGCGGTACGCGTTGGCCCCTCTTTTGTTTAATTGTTTTTCCTTTTTCTTTTTCTCCTTTTTTCCCCGTTTCTCCGATGGTTTTTAGCCATGTCCACTGATAGATGGTTGAGGCCTTTAGTTGCATGTAAATATCTATGTCAGTCAGATGACTTTTTCTGTTTTTAGTTTTTGAAAGGAATAAAGAGTATCCGAAAACCCTTTTTTTTTTTTTTTTGGTTTCCAGATATTGTACATCTGAGGTTGAGAAAGAAGCTGTTTCATGAGCAAAACCATGTGATGTCGTTTTGTTGGTTGTGGCTATACACCAAATATATTTTGGATTTCATTTTCAGTTTTCAAAGATGAATGTTACGATTAGATAAGTAGAATAGACTTAGAATTTGGTATAGTAAAATGATAATATTAAAATTTGGAATATTGTTAGGTTCAAAGGTATTTCCTTGGAGGTTTACTGAAGTAACTTCAGATGATGAACTTCACGTTGGCAGTTGACTCGTTTAAATCTTCGTATAAGATGGTTCAAACTTTTTTTGCTTCGAATGCATTAAGAATTATCTATAAATATATAGGCAAAAATTTGAATCGCTTCATTCTTGAAAATATAGTAAATTGCATAATAATACATTATCCTAAGCAATAGAGGATTCAATCAGCATGAGGATATGTTATACACAAGTGTATCTACCCCAATCAGGGGTGCCAACTAAGAGCACATGGACTGTATCGTGGGTCTCTCCATTACAGCTGATTTTGTTAGTTTTTTATTTGAGATTTTAATCGATTCATAGGGTTTCAATGAGAATTCATATCGATAGTACAGAAAATAAATAATAAGTCATTCCACAACCAAATTCTAGAAAGAAATGGGGGAAAAAAGAATTCATGAGGATTATCGCATATGTAACCTAAAAAGCTAC